TCTGTGACGCAAACCGCGGTTGACTGTGGGAGTTCAGCAATATAGCCATTACACTAACTGCTGGTTCCCATATTAGTGTGATATTTTAATCACCTCAAGTATTACATTACTTATGTATTTTACATAATGACTTTTAATTAATTATTTATTTATTTATAGAGGTTTTTGCCTTAGGGTGCATGTGCTCGCTGGAGAGAGAGACAGACACAGTGAGAGGGACAGTGAAGAACCACCCTCTAGGGAGATGGCCACTCTGCAGTCTCTTCTCTTCCATTTTTCTCCTGGGATCTTGGGCTTACTGCCAGCATAATATTTTAAGCCACTGCGTCTGGCACTCAAACTGCAGTTGACCATGTGGGAACTTAGTACTGTAACCACTTTGCCACCTGCTGGTCCCACCTTTCATTATTAATTATTTAATAATAATTTACTGATTTGCATTCTGAGACAAATGGTTATATCATTTTTAAGAATCTTAACAGTAGGGCCAGCAGGTGGCATGGTGCTTAAGATGCTAGACTCCCTTACAGATGACTGTGGTTTGAATTCTGGACCTGGAGACTTGCTTTCTTACTTTCCCTTGCTTTTTCTATCTCTCTCTGGTCAGATTTAAAAAAATAATAATAACAAATGGAATTAAGTAAATTAAGTAATTCTTTAAAAAAAAAAGGAAGCAATGGTGACATGCAGCTGGGTGGTGATAGTGAACAAGGAAAAGACACGTTTAGAGATACTGTGGGGCAAAGAAGAGATTCCAGTGTGGCCATCCCCCCTTGGAAGTAATTTCTCACTTTCTGTCTCTTTAGCAAGTATATGTATCCTACAGCAAAAATCTCTCTTAAAAAAAAGTAAGATGAATACAATTAAATAAAATAATTCTTATTAATATCTTACAGGAAAGAAGCAGAGCAAGGATTTACCACAGCTTGGTCTTCTGATTTTAAATGCCATGCTCATGATAGACTTTTTTTTTTAAAAGAATTATTTAATTTTATTTATTATTGTCATTATTTTTCAGTTTGATCAGAGAGAGACAGAGAGAAAGAGAGGAAGTGAGAAAGCAAGCCACCAGGTCCGAGACTCGAACCGTGGTCGGCCTTGTGGGAGTCCAGCGCCCTTAACCACCACGCCACTTGCCAGCCCTTTTTTTTAAAGAATTATTTTATTTAACTTTATTTATTATCATTATTATTTTTCAACATGATAGACATTTTTAAAGATCCTATGCCCCAAATTCTTGGTGAAGGGGAAACCTTGGCAAGTAATTTGAAATGCGTTTCTTATAAAATGTATGCCCTTCTTTGCCAGTTGTGCTTTAGTAACTCAGGCGCAGATAGCTGTCATTTACTTTCTTTGTACTCACACTATTAGAACATATACATTGAATTATTTTATGAACATGCTTGTATTTTTTTTAAACAATTATTTTATTTAACTTTATTTATTTATTTATTTTAACTTGACCAGAGAGGGACAGAGTGAGAACAAGAGCAAGAGAGAGAGAAAGTAAGAAAGCAAGCCTCCAGGTCTGGGATGCAAACCATGGTCGACCCTGTGGGAGTCCAGCACGCTTAACTACCATCCTACCTGCCAGCCCCCATGTTTATATATATTTTTAAAGGATAGAATGAAATAGTTAAAAATAAATGTTATTAATTTAATGATAAATTTTGTTCTGGGATAGGAGCTAGAGGAGGGGATTAAAGAGAGAGAGGGGAGAGTCCTCCCAGTGGGTCATGGTCATTTCACACTCCTTTCTCTATTTCTTCATCCTGTTTGGGTTTGGGGTACATATGCACATGTACCTGGCATAGTTTTGAAGCTGTCAGGACAAGGATTTGAACCACTCAGTTGTTGGCTATGGGGGATATGGTTCCCTTAAGCTCTAGCCTATGGGGCTGGCTCTACTTCACAATTTAAAAATATTAATTTAGTGCCTGGCCGAAAAAAATATTCTGGTGGCTGGCAGGTGCATAATGGTTAAGGCACTGGACTCTCACATGACTGACCTCGGTTTGAGTCCTCAACCTGGTGGCTTGCTTTCTTTTCCTCTGTCTCTCTCTGGTCAAATTAAAGTAATAATAATAAATAAAGTTTTAAAATTCTGTTGGGACCAGCAGATGGCGTAATGGTTTTATCACTGGATTCCCACATAGTTGACCACAGTTCGAGTTCTGGACCCAATGGCTTAAAACTCACACTAGGCATATGTGCATACATGCCCAAAATCCCAGGAAAAGAATGGAGAAGGGATTGCAGCGTGGCCATCCCCCCTGGGGGGCGATTTCTTGCACATAGCAAAAATCTCTCTTTAAAAAAAAAAAGAAAAAAATTTGTTATATAATGACTTATCAACAGGTAATATTAACTAAGAAATCTGTCCATTCATGGACTTCTACTTTATGTAGTTCTTTTTTAATCTCTTGTGCTCCCATATTCTGGGTAGAAGATTCAGAATTTAACCAAGGAAGTTAATTTCTTCCCTTTTTTGTGTATATTTTGTTTTGTTTTTGGGTTTGTTTGTTTGAGTTTTTTTTCCTTAAGGTGCATGAACATCCTGGAGAGAGACAGTGGCAGAGACAGTGAGAGGGAAAGTGAGAAATCATCCCTCAGGGTGATGGCCACACTGCAATCCCTTCTCCTTCATTCTCCTCCCGAGATCTTGGGCACACATGCACGTGTGCTGGGCTTGAGTTTCAAGCCAGTGGGTCTGGGACTTGAACCGCTATCTGCCATGTGGGAGTTCAGTGACATAACTGCTACTCCATCTGCTAGACTTGGAAGTCAATTTCTATAATGGCTTTAAAAGGATAGCTGGATAATAATTGGTGTGAAAGCAGGTGTAATTAAATATTGTTTTTGATAGCATGTGTACATGCATTAGAAAGAGAAGCACCCTTGACAGGGTCTCATCATGCCATGATCTCCTTTTCCTCCAGCGCATCAGGATCTTGGGCATGCATGCACATGTCTGGTATGTTTTCAACCCACGGGGTCTGCACACAGTGTCATATAGCTTCCATCCTTGCAGGACACTTGCATTCTACTGGGCCAATTTTAATTTCTTTATTAAGGAATTTTGAGTAGGGTATTGTTTTTGTAGAGGATGAACACAGTACAACAGTTGATAACAAAATACCTTGTGTGTTTTAGATGCTTTCTGTAGTTTTTTTCCATTTAGAAAAAATAGTTGGCTGATTTTTTTAAAATAAATTTTTTTTTTTTGAGAGGTTTTTCACTATAGGGCGCGCTCGCCAGACAGACAGAGAGAGACAGAGAGACAGAAAGCAAGAAATCACCTCCCAGAGGGGATGGCCATGCTGCAGTCCCTTCTCCTCCATTCTCCTCTCTGGATCTTGGGCATGCAGGCACATGCGCCTGGCATGAGTTTTAAGCCACCGGGTCCGGAATGTGAACCGCATC